CAATGATAGGATATGCCTGCCTCCATTAGGGCCCTGATTAGAGGTCTCAGTGCTCACTGTTTAGCTAGTTTGTTGGGAAAGATTTACATAGAGCATAATTTGCGCCCCATTAGATTCTATAACACCATGATCATGCGCCTTTTGCATAATTTCTTCTTTGCATTTGTAAAAGTGTATCCTACAGATCACATCTCTTGGTTTGGCTACAGCAAGGTTGACTGATCCTGGACTTCAATGTACTCGGTGGATTTCTATATCATCTGTTGTTGGTTTACCTAAAATAATATTGAAAATCCCCCTTGTTAATGGCAAAAGTTCGTCTTTACCAACCTCTTCCTGGATGCCCTTAATACGGATATTATTTTGTCTATTACGGTTCTCCATATCATCAATATGTGACCACAAATCTTGTAATTGGAAATGATAATCAGTAGAGATGAGCGAATCGAACATGACGAAGTGGAATTTGTTTCGAATATTAGGAAAAATTCGATTCGCGCGGCGAATCCGATCGGCCGATTTTTCATCCCTTCTACAGCCGGCAAAAAGTGTCCCTGCAGAGAGCTCCGCTATTTCTGACAGTTCTCTGACAGTTCCTTCACATTACAGCAGTTGAAACATTGTATCTATTTGTTTCCATTTAGGATACAGATGTTTTTATTCGGAAACAAATAGATACAATGTTTCAACCGCTGTAAATGTGAAGGAACTGTCAGAGAACTGTCAGAAATAGCGGAGCTCTCTGCAAATACACTTTTTGCTGGACTGGAATTCTTCTTATTTTTCATCCTACTTCTTCATCCTCATCCTCTTCTTCTTCTTCTTCTTCATCCTCATCCTTCTTCTTCTTCTTCACCCTCATCTCTACTTCTTCTTCATTCTCATCCTCTTCTTCTTTTTCTTCTTCTTCTTCCTCATCCTCTTCTTCATCCTCATTCTCTTCTTCTTCATCCTCATCCTCTTCTTCTTCATCCTCATCCTCTTCTTCTTCATCATCCTCATCCTCCTCTTCTTCTTCTTCATCATCCTCATCCTCTTCTTCTTCTTCTTCTTCTTCTTCTTCTTCTTCTTCCTCACCATCATCCTCTTCTTCTTCTTCATCCTCATCCTCTTCTTCTTCTTCTTCCTTCATTCTTCTTCTTTCTTCTTCTTCTTCTTCCTTCTTCTCTTCTTCTTCTTTCTCTTTTTCTTCTTCTTCTTCTTCTTCTTCTTCTTCTTCTTTCTTCTTCTTCTTCCATCCTCATCCTCATCTTCTTCTTCTTCTTTCTTCATCATCCTCATCCTCTTCTTCTTCTTCTTCTTCTTCTTCTTCATCCTCATCAACTTCTTCTTCTTCTTCTTCATTCATCCTCTTCTTCTTCTTCTTCTTCATCCTCTTCTTCTTCATCATCATCTTCTTCTTCTTCTTCTTCTTCATCATCATCCTCATCCTCTTCTCTTCATCCTCATCCTCTTCTTCTTCTTCTTCTTCATCATCATCCTCCTCTTCTTCTTCCCTCTTCCTCTTCTTCTTCTTCATCATCCTCATTCTCTTCTTCTTCTTCATCCTCATCCTCTTCTTCTTTCTTCATCTCATCCTTCTTCTTCATCATCATCATCCTCATCCTCCTCTTCTTCTTCTTCTTCCTTCTTCTTCTTCTCATTCATCTCACCTCTTCTTCTTCTTCATCATCCTCCTCATCATCTTCTTCTTCTTCATCCTCATCATCTTCTTCTTCTTCCTCATCATCTCTCTTCTTCATTCTTCCCTCTTTCTTCTTCATCCTCATCTTCTTCATCCTCATCCTCTTCTTCTCTTCTTCTCTCTTCATCCTCATCCTCCTCTTCTTCTTCATCTTCATCCCCTCCCTCTTCTTCTTCTTCTTCTTCTTCTTCATCCTCATCCTCACCATCATCCTCTTCTTCTTCATCATCCTCATCCTCTTCTTCATCCTCATCCTCTTCTTCTTCTTCTTCTTCATCCTCATCCTCTTCTTCTTCTTCTTCTTCTTCTTCCTCATCCTCATCCTCTTCCTCATCCTCATCCTCTTCTTCTTCTTCATCCTCATCTTCTTCATCCTCATCCTCTTCTTCTTCTTCATCCTCATCCTCTTTCTTCTTCTTCTTCCTCATCCTCATCCTCTTCTCCTTCTTCATCCTCATCCTCTTCTTCTTCTTCTTCTTCATCCTCATCTTCTTCTTCTTCATCCTCATCCTCTTCTTCTTCTTCATCCTCATCCTCTTCTTCTTCTTCTTCGTCCTCATCTTCTTCTTCTTCTTCTTCTTCTTCTTCTTCCTCATCCTCTTCTTCTTCATCCTCATCCTCTCTTCTTCTTCATCCCTCTTCTTCTTCTTCTTCTTCTTCCTCCTCATCCTCCTCTTCTTCTTCTTCTTCTTCTTCTTCCTCATCCTCCTTCTTCTTCTTCTTCTTCTTCATCATCATCACCATCTTCTTTCTTCTTCTTCTTCTTCTTCTTCTTCTCATCTTCCTACTTCTTCTTCTTCATCATCCTCATCCTCTTTCTTCTTCTTCTTCTTCTTCTTCATCCTCATCCTCATCCTCTTCTTCTTCTTCTTCTTCATCCTCATCCTCTTCTTCCTCATCCTCTTCTTCTTCTTCTTCTTCTTCTTCTTCATCATCATCCTCTTCTTCTTCATCCTCATCCTCTTCTTCTTCTTCTTCTTCATCATCATCCTCATCCTCTTCTTCTTCCTCATCCTCTTCTTCTTCTTCATCATCCTCATTCTCTTCTTCTTCTTCATCCTCATCCTCTTCTTCTTCTTCATCCTCATCCTCTTCTTCTTCATCATCCTCATCCTCCTCCTCTCTCTTCTTCTCTTCTTCTTCTTCTTCTTCTTCTTCTTCATCATCATCATCCTCCTCTTCTTCTTCTTCTTCTTCATCCTCATCATCATCCTCTTCTTCTTCTTCTTCATCCTCATCCTCTTCTTCATCCTCATCTTCTTCTTCATCCTCATCCTCTTCTTCTTCATCCTCATCCTCTTCTTCTTCTTCTTCATCCTCATCCTCCTTCTTCTTCTTCATCTTCATCCTCCTCTTCTTCTTCTTCTTCTTCTTCTTCATCCTCATCCTCACCATCATCCTCTTCTTCTTCATCATCCTCATCCTCTTCTTCATCCTCATCCTCTTCTTCTTCTTCTTCTTCTTCATCCTCATCCTCTTCTTCTTCTTCTTCTTCTTCTTCCTCATCCTCATCCTCTTCCTCATCCTCATCCTCTTCTTCTTCTTCATCCTCATCTTCTTCATCCTCATCCTCTTCTTCTTCTTCATCCTCATCCTCTTCTTCTTCTTCTTCTTCTTCCTCATCCTCATCCTCTTCTCCTTCTTCATCCTCATCCTCTTCTTCTTCTTCTTCTTCATCCTCATCTTCTTCTTCTTCATCCTCATCCTCTTCTTCTTCTTCATCCTCATCCTCTTCTTCTTCTTCTTCGTCCTCATCTTCTTCTTCTTCTTCTTCTTCTTCTTCCTCATCCTCTTCTTCTTCATCCTCATCCTCTCTTCTTCTTCATCCTCTTCTTCTTCTTCTTCTTCTTCTTCCTCCTCATCCTCCTCTTCTTCTTCTTCTTCTTCTTTCTTCCTCATCCTCCTCTTCTTCTTCTTCTTCTTCTTCATCATCATCCTCATCTTCTTCTTCTTCTTCTTCATCATCCTCATCATCATCCTCTTCTTCATCATCATCCTCATCCTCTTCTTCATCCTCATCCTCTTCTTCTTCTTCATCCTCATCCTCTTCTTCTTCTTCCTCATCCTCAACCTCTTCTTCTTCTTCTTCTTCTTCTTATTCTTCATCCTCATCCTCTTCTTCCTCTTCTTCTTCTTCTTCTTCTTCATCCTCATCCTCTTCTTCTTCTTCTTCTTCATCCCCATCCTCTTCTTCTTCATCCCCATCCTCTTCTTCTTCATCCTCATCCTCTTTTTCTTCTTCTTCTTCATCCTCATCCTCCTCTTCTTCTTCTTCTTCTTCTTCATCATCCTCATCCTCTTCTTCTTCTTCTTCTTCTTCCTCACCATCATCCTCTTCTTCTTCTTCATCCTCATCCTCTTCTTCATCGTCATCCTCTTCTTCTTCTTCATCCTCATCCTCCTCTTCTTCTTCTTCTTCTTCATCCACATCCTCTCTTTCTTCTTCATCCTCATCCTCTTCTTCTTCTTCTTCTTCCTCTTCCTCATCCTCTTCTTTTTTTCATCCTCTTCTTCCTCTTCTTCTTCTTCATCCTCTTCTTCATCCTCTTCCTCTTCTTCTTTTTCTTCTTTTTGTCTTCCTCTTGCAGGTCACTGCTCATGCGCAGATTTTTTATTGGCAAAAAATCGTCCGATTTGCCCACTATTGCCGCGAAAATCAGCCGATCGGCAAAATCGGACGATTTTTTTTTCCAACTTTACAGAAAAAAAAAATGGCCAAAATACCGAAAAACCAAATAGCCCACTAACGATCCGAAAATCGGCCGATTTTATTTTCGGCCGAAAAATCGGCCGATTTTCGACCCATCTATGGCCTGCATTAGGGCCACAGAGACTTTAGGCCACAGGATCGTTACTCAGGGACACAGAATCGTTACTCAGGGACACAGAATTGTTACTCAGGGACACAGAATTGTTACTCAGGGACACAGAATCGTTACTCAGGGACACAGAATCGTTACTTAGGGCCACAGCTATCAAAGAATCGAAAATTTAAAGTGACATACACCCTTTTTTTTTTGGTGGCTGTCGTGCACAGTTGGTGCTGCAGTTTGCCGATTGTGCAAAATAAACTGACTTTCTGCTTCACAACCACTATTGTACGTTCAAAGAGTTAAATCCATTTACACGCCGGCTGGTGGTAATATTTTTTGGGTGATTAGTGCATTCCAGTGACACAAACGTACAGTTTCCAGCCAACGGCAAGCTGCAATTGACCGATTGTGTACAATAAACTGACTTTCTGCTTCACAACCACTATTGGCCTTCAATTGAAGCTGCTTCCGCTCCGCCACTCTGCCATTGGACTCTTGATAGTCGTCTCCCCACGCTGCTGCTGGGGGGACTTTTTAACCTAGGCCTGTGTATGGCCTTCAATTGAAGCTGCTTCTGCTCCGCCACTCTGCCATTGGACTCTTGATAGTTGTCTCCCCACACTGCTGCTGGGGGGACTTTTTAACATAGGCCTCTGTATGGCCTTCAATTTAAGCTGCTTACGCTTCGCCACTCTGCCATGGGCCCCTGTACCGCCTCCTCATGCTGCTGCCAGGTCCAGAGTGTGTCATGGGTCCCTGTACGGCCTCCCATTGCTGCTGTCTCCATCGCCACACTCTGCCATGTGCCACTTTCAGGTCTCCTCACACTGCTGGTGGGTTCCATTTTGTCATAGGGTGCTGTATGGCCTCCCATTGCTTCTGCTTCCACCGCCACACTGTGGCTCCACACTCTGGTTTTGGCCCCGTGACTGCCCAAATGAGTATAAGTATTTTTCAAAGCGAGCCTCTATAGCATGGCATTCTTCCTCACTTCCTGAGTCAGAGCGTTCCTTGTCTTTCTCCTGTGCTTGCTGAGCATTACTATGGCTGTGAGGTAAATGCTGGGATGGTGGAGTCTCATGTACTTTATGACTACTCCTGATTGACTCCGTACTGAGGTGGTGGTGAGGTGTACTATGTTCCCGTGCATTGTCTCCATTATCTGGCCTCTGGTAGTTCACCAACAACCGCCTTTCTGAGTCTTCATCTTACCGCTCTTACACATTTTAATATAGAAATTACATTTAATAGTTGATTTTGGCTGAATCACAAACCTAGTACAAAGCCATAGCAATGATATACCAGAGCAATATAGCAGCAACAGTAACTGTCATCAATTATGTAGTAGGGCAATTCAGCATCAGCAATTGTCAGCAATAGTATAGCAGCAGTATGACAGGGATATAGCAGGAGAGTCACCAATAAAGTAACATCAGTAGTATTGTAATGTAGCCGTAATATAGCAGGGCACAAGGTAGGATCAACGGGATCAGCGGTAACAGCAGCTGCTATCAATGACACTAGTATAGCAAGGCAGCCCAGCTGAAGCAGCAAGAGTAGCTACAGACGATGTCAGCAGATATCAGCAAGTGTAAGCAATATAATTCAATAAGAATTTTTCTAACTATAGAATATCAGGTGGATTTAGAGGCAGTTGGTATAGAAGAGGGGGTTTTCAAGACAATTTTCCTGCAAAGGGGGATTTTCAAAATCATTACAGAGGATGGAACATGATACCCAGGGGGTACAGACCTCAAGAAAGGGATTGGAGAGAACAGGGTAATTATGGCAGAAGGGAAAGAACAGAAGATATAGAGGAAAGAGAGGAGGCAGGAGAAAAAAAGAGAACATTAGGGGCTGGTATTTACAATTTAAGTGATGTTGTGTTCACTGAAAGAGAAATCAAAGTATTGAAGCTTGGTTTGAAATATGTACCAAAAATGAATCTTAATAAATTTGATGTTTTTATTGATGTACAAAAATGTGTGAGAAAATTTAAATATAAAAAAGTTTTTTGAATTAAATAAAAATAAAAATAAGAATGGGAGTTCATCATCAAACGGCTTTCAAAATAGTGGTTTCAAAAATGCTTCCACATTTAGCCCAAAAAATTCTGGTAATGCATACTTATAAGTTTTTAAGTACTGTCCGTGCTACTTTTATTATTTGCACTAACATACAATTTTGAGGACAAGCTTTTGGGGTATGTTCCCTTCTTCAAAGTCCAAGCAGTACTGTACAAATCACAAAGTTTCAGCAGAATGTTAGAAGAGATGAAGAAAAAAAAAAAAAGAGAGGCTAGAGATAAGATACAGCCAAAGCGAGGGGGTAGGAGGGGATACTACACTCACACAGAGGGAGTCAAGCTAGATAATAGTCATAAAACTGTTGGATAATGAGTGAGGAATCCCATGTCCAAATTAAGGCCGTTATCTCTTGTGTCAAATAGAATTATCATTCTTAGTTCAAAAGTTTTTCTTTCCTGGATGGATTTGAAATTTCCTTTAAGAACTAAAATATTGAGGTTTCCCATTGTGTGGCCTGGTTGTGCAAAATGGTGTCCCACAGGTGTGCAGAGGTCATCTTTATGTTCCTTGATGGTATGTCTGTGCAAATTCATCCTTGTTTGCAACTTCTTTCCTGTTTCGCCAACATAAGATCCTTTGCTGCATTTTCTGCACTGGATAAGGTACCTAACATTACTGGAGGTGCAGCTGTATGAGCCAGAAATATTGAAGATCCCTTTTGAGTGTCTGACACTTTTTGATGGATTGATTTGGTTGCACAGTTTGCAGCGTACCTATTGCAGGGTGTGCTTCCATTATTTGTGACATCTTGATCAGAAGGAAGTTTCCTACTGATTAGTTTATTTCTGAGGTTGAAGGGTTGTCTGAAGGCCAGTATTGGGGGTTGCTGGAATATTTCTTTCAGAGTTCCATCCTCTGTTATGATGGGTTGTAAATCTTTGATTATTTTTCTTATCCCTTCTAGTGCTGGGTTGTATGTGGTTACTAGAGGTACACGGTTGTTTGTTTTTTTCTCTTTGTACTGAAGTAGATTTTCTTTTCGGGTTCTCAAGGCTGTGTTTTTGCTGGTGTTGATAGTTTTGTCCTTGTAACCTTTCTTATGGAAGGCGTCTGCTAGTGTTCAGGAGACTAAGGCTCAAAGAATATTTCCACAATAATGAAAGGAATCCTAGGACAATGAAGTGCTACACAAAGAAAAAGAACAGCTGCTTCACACCTCCACAAGGACGCAACCCCAAACTGGACACCTGTATTGATAGCTTCAGATTGCGAGCTACATCCCTGATATCCACCCACCAAAAGAAAATTCTGTACAATCTTTCACCACTAGAGCGAAAGGCTATACACGATTTGCACAATAATCAGGCCATCACCATCAAACCAGCGGATAAAGGGGGAGCAGTTGTTGTGATGGACACAAACAAATACATACAAGAAGGCCAGAGGCAGCTGGAAAATGCCATCTACTATAAAAAAAACTGGATTATGATCCGACCCAGGACTTTACAAAGCAATTAAAAGGTCTCATTAAAACACTTCCAGCCCACCTACATTCAGAACTTATAAATGCGATTCCGGATCATCCAGAAATCGGGGACTTTTACATGCTGCCCAAAGTCCACAAGCCAGGAAATCCAGGCAGACCCATCATAACAGGTATGAATACACTCACCGAACAAATCTCAGGCTTTGTAGAAAATTTTTTAAAACCGCTAATCATGAATACTGTTAGTTTCCTGCAAGACACAACTGACTTTCTGAACAAGATTAACATACAGCAATTACCATCTAATACACTTCTAGTGACTATGGATGTAGTATCCCTGTATAGTAATATCCCTCACAATGATGGATTAGCTGCATGTCACAGATCCTTATCATCCTCACCAAACCACAAATACACTGCTGAGGATGTTACACAGCTCATTGAATTCATACTCACACACAATTACTTTGCCTTCAATAAAGACATCTATCTTCAATGTATGGGTACTGCGATGGGAAGTAAAATGGCACCCCAATATGCCAATTTATTTATGGCTGACCTGGAGGAAAAATTCCTGAACAGCATGGAACAAAAACCTTACAGATACTATTGCTATATTGATGATATTTACATCATATGGACAGATGGTGAAGAAAACCTAAAACAATTTTACTCATTGAGCAACACTTTTCATCCATCAATCAAACTAAAAATGGAATACTCAAACACACACATCAACTTCCTAGACACCACAGTATACATCAGGGATGATACGCTTCACACCTCAATATACAGGAAACCCACTGACAGATGCCACCTTCTCCACAGTTCCAGCTTCCACCCCCAACACACGAAACGTGCCATCATACACAGTCAGGCTATTAGATACCACCGAATATGTTCTGACCCAAGAGACAGAGATCAACATCTCGGGACACTAGCAGACGCCTTCCATAAGAAAGCTTACCAGGACAAAGCAATCAACACCAGCATAAACACAGCCTTGAGAACCCGAAAAGAAAATCTACTTCAGTACAAAGAGAAAAAAACAAACAACCGTGTACCTCTAGTAACCACATACAACCCAGCACTAGAAGGGATAAGAAAATAATCAAAGATTTACAACCCATCCTAACAGAGGATGGAACTCTGAAAGAAATATTCCAGTAACCCCCAATACTGGCCTTCAGACAAACCTTCAACCTCAGAAATAAACTAATCAGTAGAAAACTTCCTTCTGATCAAGATGTCACAAATAATGGAAGCACACCCTGCAATAAGAAACGCTGCAAACTGTGCAACCAAATCAATCCATCAAAAAGTGTCAGACACTCAAAAGGGATCTTCAATATTTCTGGCTCATACAGCTGCACCTCCAGTAATGTTATGTACCTTATCCAGTGCAGAAAATGCAGCAAAGGATCTTATGTTGGCGAAACAGGAAAGAAGTTGCAAAAAAGGATGAATTTGCACAGACATACCATCAAGGAACATAAAGAAGATGACCTCTGCACACCTATGGGACGCCATTTTGCACAACCAGGCCACACAATGGGAGACCTCAATATTTTAGTTCTTAAAGGAAATTTCAAATCCATCCAGGAAAGAAAAACTTTTGAACTAAGAATGATAATTCTATTTGACACAAGAGATAACGGCCTTAATTTGGACATGGGATTCCTCACTCATTATTCAACAGTTTTATAACTATTTAGCTAGCTTGACTCCCTCTGTGTGAGTGTAGTATCCCCCCCTCCCCCCTCGCTTTGGCTGTATCTTATCTCTAGCCTCTCTTCTTTTTCTTCATCTCTTCTAACATTCTGCTGAAACTTTGTGATTTGTACAGTACTGCTTGAACTTTGAAGAAGGGGACATACCCAAGAAGATTGTCCTCAAAATTGTATGTTAGTGCAAATAAAAAAAGTATCACGGACAGTACTCAATTGTTTCTGTCGCAAATGCACTAATATGGCTACAATCACCTCAATTAGAAGTTTTTAAAAATATGGTAGAGAATGACATAAAGAACTTGGAGGTGAAAGGGTTTAACTATACTCCAAGAGATATTATATTAGGTATTGACCTTGAAAAGAAAAAGAATATAGTAATTAGAGGGGCAGATAAAAGAGGAAGTATTGTTATTCTAAACAAGGCCGATTATGAGGAGGAAATGGATAGGCTATTAAATATTAAAGATACGTACAAAAAATTAACATGAAATCCTACTAAAAAACTCAAATCACAATTAAAAACATCATTAAGGAAGGAAAAGATCTAGGGGTTTTGAATGATAAAGAAGCAAGATACATTTTGATAAAAAATTCTAAAATACCTACTATTTAGTATTTCCCAAAATTGCATAAAAATATAGAAAAACCACCTGGTAGGCCAATAGTTAGTGGGATTAATTCTGTTTTTGCTAAAGTGGGTGAATATATCAATTCTTTTTTACAGGCTATAGTCATGAAGAATAAATCTTTTTTGAAAGACAGTGGAGAACTCATTAATATTCTTAAAGATATGGATAATATGAGTGATTGCATGTTAGTAACAATAGACGTAGAGTCATGATATACTAATATCAACCAGAAAT